GTAAAAGGGTTAATGACATCTTGGAAGAGTAAGAGAAAAGGTTTTTTTGTGTTCGAAAAAGATGATCACTGACAGTTGCATTACCCCATAATGAAGCCAGAAGAAATCCTCGAAAACTGGTACGTAATTGATCTTCATTGATTGGGTCAAGGTTGGAAATACTAAGATTAAGGGTAGTAGCTAATTTAAGAATGGCGGGAAATGATGCTTGAAGACATGACGTTTTCGGTTCATGGAATGGGTCATAGGTTTTCCAATGTTCAGAACTCATGAAAAAACTATTCAATCGTCGGTATCTATTTCCCTCCCCCCAAAAGAACCACAGTCAAGTCAGTGATATGTCTTGTTTTAAGATCGAAATGAATGTCATCTTACAAATAACATTCGGCAAACTGGTTTGAAAATGGTCATATGATTTGGATTAGTTCAAGAACCATGTGTACTTTAGAAATTGAAGGTAGAGGTCAACAAACCAGCCAAGAAGCAGTAAACCAAGTCGATTTATTTGCAGCCTTTGCTTTTTTAAGTTCTTCATTATACAATACTAAATTTTGACCACCGTCATCGATGATCGGTCTAAGGATTTCAAGCATACAAAAGGCATCATGAGAATCAAATCAAGCCAATCCAAAAGATTGAAATGAATGATGACGAACCCAAGTTCTTTATCTCTAGCACATTGATATTTAAGTTCCGAAATTTGACTAATGATCAACTTTCCATGTTTTAATTTATCATTTTGATGATCACCTCCTTCATCTAAAAGTGAATTATTGATTTTCACCATTCTATCAATTATATTGGTTAAGATCATAGGCCATCTTTTGATGGTCGATTGGTATGCAAACGTATTGGGATTAGATGCTGAATAAGGTTCGATCGAGAACCGAACCGGTGGTTGGTATGATGAATTTGGAAATCGGGTGGTAGTCATTATTAAAGGTGAAAGATGAAGCTTAGGTGGTCTGTTGAAGGTTTCGGGAAAGATGGTGACTGGATTAGTTTTTTCTTTTTTGATAAGTTGATCGATTTGAATGAAAAGAAGGCTTCTTGACCCACTTTTTTAATGAATGGATGATTTTAGGGTTCAAGATCAGAGGTGCAGATGTGATTGAGTTTGAAGAATGAAGATGATGGGACAAAGGTGAAGGAGAACGAGAAGGAGTTGGATATCCTG